ATTGCATCAATTTCATGATAGAAAATCACTGCAAAATCATAATGAGAGGCGTTTGCATTGGATATTCAAACATCAACAACTTACAGAACACACTTACTATTCTCAGTCATCAATAGTGCAAGCTTTCACCTTCTATACAAGAAAATAGCACATAAGAAAATCCAACTTGGCTCATAGTAAAATCCTTTTTAAATATAAATCACAATCCATTATTTTTAACAGAAGGCGGCCAAGATAATCTCCTGTTCGCAGTCGCATCAACTGAGCTTGAATCAACAACCTCACTGTTTGTATCTTCACCTCCGTGCCATTCACTGCCTTGGCTTCTGAGGCCATTTACGGCTAAATCATCAAAACTCGACTCGGTTCTCCAAGCTGGAGGAGTCACGCATTCAGAATCTCTCGTTGCCCTTTGAGATGAATGGCCGACTCTCAGTGTTTGCAGTTTGGCAAATGATTCTCTCATTGCAGTCATAGCCTCGAAAAAACGAGTGCAAGACGCTAAAGCCACGGGAATTGGACGGAGCATTTCCTGAAATATTGAATAACGGCAACACAATATTAAAATGTCAAGGTTATTAGTATTATTATTAAGATTTTCGTCACTGGTTGGAATTATTCTATATCTAGTTGAGTTAGCTGCTGAAACATGGCAGCAAGAAATAAATTGGTACAGTTATAAATTTCCTAATCAAATCTTCCGCTACCAGATAACTCAGACTAAGTAATTACTTTCAAAGAAATACCCGAGCTTAAGGTGTTATGGTGAAACATCACTACAACCAACCCGTGTAACTTAGTTTTTAGCATATCTCAATTGAATTTCATTGACAATACTAGGGCTATTAACGAACCGAACGTTCGATAACAAAAGCTCGTTCGAGCTCGTTCGTGTTCGACAAAAGCTGGTTCGTTTGTTAATCGAGCCGAGTTCGAACAGAAAATTAGGATCGTTTAAAAATCGAATGAACATGAGCTCCTTCGCGAACGTTCGATAATGTTTGCAAACATTAATTTAATATAACTTTATTTTATTTTTTATATATTTACATGATATTTTTAATAAGAAATCTAAAATATAAAAAAAAAAATATTTTATTTTTTTATTTTCGAGTTCGAACGAACAGATTTTGATTTAATCAAACACATTTAAAAAGTTTATGCCATAAATTATTCGAACACGAACAAACTCGAACTTTGACGAACAATTAAACGAACGAGCTCGAACAAGACTTTTTGCTAGAAAAGTAAACAAACCAACACGAACACTGCACGAGCTCGAAACGCCCAAGCTCGGCTCGTTCGGTTTGATTACTACACTAGACAATACATTGCTACTAATATACGATCATTATCAAAGGTATTATTTGACGGCAGTGTAAAACATTTTAGAACAAAGGGAGAATGGATTTATCTTTTCTCACTTTCATCATCAATCTGTAGAGTAAGAATCTTTCTTGGTTCACACATATTTAATCATCGAGACACAACTACTATAATTTCCACTAGACTCATAAGAAGATCAGTGGAGATTAAACTAATAAATAATTGCTGGATGGTCAACTTACGCCCCATATTGTAGGTGGTTCTTTAAAGTTCTGACTCCACTGAAAATCAGCAACAGAGGCCGTTAAGGCTCCATAATCACTTGCTGCCTTCATTAGTAGTTCTGAAAATTGTTTCTGTATCAAAACAAGGAAACAAGAATTAAATCTTGTAAGGAGATCTCACGTCACATCAATATAAGAAAGGACATTTCGGAAAAAAACCACAGGACGAAACTAAATAATCTATCAGCTTGCTAGCTTACAAGACAATCACAAAGACATCAATATTACTAAGCTTCTGAGCAAGTTCAACATCTCAGAGGCAAAATGAACATCCTATGGGTGTACTTATTTAAATAATGCTTGGACAAGCATTGACCAAATGAAGATAGTGGAAAGAAATGTATAAGCTCATAGCAGTTTATACCATTAGAAATCACAAGGAGTAATCATAGAAAATATACCTGATACTCAGCTTCCACAGGTATGCAATCCAAGGAGTAGGGTTGCTGAAGGCGAGCAATAATCCGATCCTACAAAAGCGAGAATAACAAGATAAGTTCAAGAATAATAAGACAGAAAACAAAGGAAGAACTTCTAGCATTTGCAACTACACGAAAAGGATGGTACTAGCTGAACTGCAGCAACATATTCTTTATTAGAGTATGTAACTCATTGGCCCTAATTGGGTAATTGAGCTATATCTCTCACCAACATCAAGTTTGATTCTGTAAGCCACAAAATGTTAAGTGCCCGAAACTCTTAACCCTAATATAGACTAATGGCATCATTTGTATCAACAATTTACAGAAATCAAAATCTGCATCTTATGTCACCCCTTAGGTATTACAAGACGCCCTAAAACCACCACTAACCAACGAATGAATTCGGATAAGAATTTGAACTCTCCATTTAAGCACATATTCAGCTACAACGTAAAAGTTGGGCAGTATTTCCATTCATTAATTACCTTATTCTGAATAACGTCTTTCAATATAGTTGTGATCCGAGATAAAGTCTCGATCTTCTTCTCCATTTCACTCACGTGTGTCAAATGTGCAACATTCTTGTCCTCCTAAAAAGTTCCACAAAGATTGCGTGAGCTCAATGTTAAGCACACTAAACCATGGCCACAGTTTTCTGAACTACCACTAAACAGTACATCAATCTGTAACAGTCAATTGAGAGTCCTCAACAGAGAAATTCAAAATTCAAGTGAAATTTGCGATGTGAAATTCAAAATTGACCTTTCTGCCTTGAAGTTCCACTTGCAGATCCGCAATCTTTCTTTGCACAGCCGTCAATTCTCTCAGGATCCTTACCAGGTCGTCCCCCTTCTCACGGGAACCTGTCGATAAATTCTGGATATCTTCCTGATACAACCCAAAAAAGAAAAAGAAAAATTAGGGCTCGCTACTAGCTAGCAATGCAGGAGCACGAGATCGAGTAGAATCGCTAACACTTTACTGGGCGAATGAGCAATCTGAGACCTGAGATGGCGGAGGAGGAACGGAAAATCCAATATCGGCGGCGATGGAGAGAGCATCGGACATCCCTCCGACTCTTCTCATTGGCTTTTTTCCCACCCAGGTGGTGTCGCTGCCCATTGACATTCTAAAATGTGGGGTTTCTCTTGTGCGTGTGAACTAGAATACAGGTGCGCGCGCAAGATCTCCGGCGCCGGAAAATAACTTTGAGCGTATAAGTACCGGAGCAGGTCGCGGTGAAGAGGTTTTCGAATCTATAATGGAAAATTTGAAATGGCCATATGTAGGTTGGTCGATGTAACTGGGGGCCCAAATCATAAATTTGGTGTCACATAATTGAAAAATATTACTCAAGTATAGATTAATCATTTGGAGTAGATTGATCATTTGGAATGGTAATTATAATTAAAGTTGTTAAACGAAATAATTCATTCGTAATCTCTACTTGGCTCAATTCGAAATCAAGTATATCGAGCCGAGCACGAGCTTGTTTAAACTCGTTTAGTTATCGAGCTGAACTTTGCTCGTTAGGACTAAATAATTAGATTTTTTTTTTTTTTTATGTAATTTTATACATTCAATCTTTATTAATTACAGTGTTACTTCCTGCTATCTTATTAGAGACAATCCGATGATACCAACCCCACCAAACTCAATGTGAGATTGGAATGTTGTATGTTTTGCTTACACAACTATGACTTGGTGATTACTATTTGTCTGTAGTTTACGATCATAGGTGGTGGTATAGTTTCCACTGCTTATATTTGATTGTGCAATAACTTAGGTCATAATTTTATTCCGTTGACTTAAAAAACAAACATAACAATGCAATGTTGGCTTAAAAAATGACAAGATGAATGCAATTTCAAATAGCTAGCCATGCAAATTTGAGCCTAGTGGGATGAGAAACAAAAATTGTTACACTATGATACCCACTCATCGATTAATGTCTTCGTGTCAAGGTTTGAGTTTTTATCTCCAACTATTTTTAACAAGCATTGAAGACGATGAATCTTGCAATGAGGTTGTCAAGACCAAAATATATGGGAACAACCTTTCAATGGAGGCTTAAGTCCAAATGTACACTTAATGTGAAATACGAGATCAGTCCTTTTTCTATTGATGAGGTCTTTTTGGAATTCTCATGGCAGGGTTTCAATAGAAAGTTCATTTATTTCAACCGTGTTGTAGGAGGAGAACTTGTATCAAATAAAGTAGGATCATGAACTGCAAAAAGGTTATAAAATTTCCTGAAATGCATGTTAGATAAAACTTCATGAATACTAAAAAATAATTAGTTTGAGTGCCGGATGAGGCGCTCAATTATAGGTGAAATTTTATCTAAAAAATAATTCTTATTCAAACAATATATATTTTTTTATTTAAAATTCGAGTCAAACACAAGTAAAATCGAACCCAACGTGGATTTAAGTTCTGAATGGTGCAAACTTGAACCTGATTACCAAATAATTGGGCCGAAACATACAATCAAAAAACACATGCAGCTCAATTTAGCCCAATTCGCATCCAAAAACCCTACCCCTAAAACCTCCTGAAACACCGCTCGAACTCTTCCCCTCCGTCCGACATTTCTTTCGATGTGCGTCGCACAGTACAGACCTCACTGCTCCAAGAATCTCTGCTTCAACTGGTGACACAGAGCTCAATCACATATTCGACCATGAAAGGAAGAACCCTGAAGAAGAAAAGACCATCCTCTCAGTCGGCGAAAGGTAAGGGTAGCAATAAGAAGCGGGGTTCCTCCATCAACGAGGACTCGTTCTTCGAAGCCGCCGAGCAGAAACGGCGCCGAAAGTTCGGCACCGGCGGAGATGAAGATATCGCGAGCAGCGACGATGAAGGTTCGGAAGGAGAGGGGGAGGAGGAGGAGGAGAAGGAGGAGGAGATAGAGGAGACGCCGGCGGAGAAGAAGAAGCGGCTGGCGGATGCGTATTTGAAGTCGCTCAGAGCAAAGGAAAGGAAGAAAGAAGAAGAAGATGGGTCCGATGAGGATGATGAAGGGCGGAGAGAGAGAGAAGGGGAAATGGATTCGCTCATTGCCAAGAGTTTGCAGCAGCAGCAGCTCGAGGATAGCGGCCGTGTCCGTCGAGCCATTGCCTCTAGGTTTGTTTATGTATATGGGTTTCTGATAAATGAAACGTGGTTTCATTTTTCGTATATGGGTTTCTAATAAATGAAATGTGGTTTTCATTTTTCTAGGATTCTCTTATGTGCCATTGTTGTTTGGTTCGATTTCAGTGTGTTCTAATTTAGGCACTATCTGTTTTTCATTTGATGGGAGATTCCATTGCAAGTTTTGAACTTTTTTTAATTTTGTGTTGTATTTTAGGGTTCAAAAACCAGAACCTGGTAAAGCGTTTCAGTTTCTAGTGAAACACAGGCAACCGGTGACAAGTGTAGCTCTTTCTGAGGATGACTCGAGAGGATATTCAGCTTCCAAGGATGGTGCCATTGTTCATTGGGATGTTTGCAGTGGAAAAACTGAGAAGTATGTTTGGCCTTCTGATGAAGTTTTGAAATCTAAGGGTGTAAGGGACCCACAAGGCCGAGCAACAAAGCATAGTAAACATGTTTTAGCATTGGCTGTTAGTACAGACGGTCGATATTTGGCGACTGGAGGTTTAGATCGTCATGTTCATCTGTGGGATGTTCGCACACGCGATTATATTCAGGTAACTTCATGCTTTACAATAATGAACACTTGTTAGTTTGTTACTAAATGTTCGCACACGAGATTATATTCAGGTAACTTCATGCTTTACATTAATGAGCACTTGTTAGTTTGTTACTAAGGAATGCACTGTAATGAAAATCTTTCTAGGTTTCAATTGAAGAAATAGTGGGTGTAATATTAAAGACCACATCTTTTTTCAAGGATATTCGAGTTTTATTTTATCTCTTTGGAACTAACCATGAAACCTTGCATTTTTGCATCACCAGCTTGAATTTGAAATCTGAAGTATGCCGCCTATTTTGTTTCCTGCAGGCTTTTCCTGGACATAAAGGACCTGTATCCTGCTTAACATTTAGGCAAGGGACTTCAGAACTCTTCTCAGGTTCATTCGATCGTTCTATCAAGATTTGGAATGCAGAGGATAGAACTTACATAAACACGTTATTCGGTCATCAGAGTGAGGTGTTAACTATTGACAGCTTGAGAAAAGAACGTGTATTGACTGTTGGACGTGACCGTACTATGCACTTATGGAAGGTAATTCAAGCCTTTTAAGAAACAGTTGGGACTTTATATGCCTCAAGTAGACTGAAAACATACAAAACTAGCATGTGGAGTGAAGTTTAGTTTAAAAACTTTTAATGTGGTTGTATGTATGGGGAATTCTTTTTTTTTTGTTTTTTAAATGCTGTCAACTAATAACTTTCTTGTTGCACATATGCCGAAATAGGTTCCAGAGGAATCACAATTAATCTTTCGAGCTCCAGCGGCTTCACTCGAATGCTGTTGCTTTATAAGTAATGACGAATTCTTGTCGGGTTCGGATGATGGAAGCATTGAGCATTGGAATGTTCTACGCAAGAAGCCTGTCCAGATTGTGAAAAATGCACATGCGTCATTTAGCGAAAACAATCTCGAACCGAGTAATTATGAAGGACTAGTAAATGGCCACAAAGGTAGGTAGCTCAACTTACTAGTACCTTGCCATCACAAGCCGCATGTTTTTCCAGTCAACATCTTACATCTTCCAAATCTTTGACTAATTTTCTGCAGATAATGAAGTCCAAGAGTCTCCAAAACTTGGTTCGACAGCTTTGTCATGGGTCAACTCAGTTGCTGTGTGTAGAAGCAGTGATCTTGCTGCATCTGGAGCTGGAAATGGTTCAGTACGTCTTTGGGCAATTGAGAATGAATCCAAAGGAATTCGTCCTTTATTCGAGCTCTCCCTGGTAAGCCTTTTGCTTGTCCTATTGCCTGAGACGTAGAGCAGTCCTTTTTTAAGCTTCTTCTCTCATCTTAGAAGTTGCGATTTGTTTTTACTTTTTAACAACCGATTTGAAAATTAAATATCATTTTCTAGCATGCTTTTGCTATTGTGCCTCTGTCTATGAATGTATTTATTACTTCCAAACCCGTACCTATTATTTGAGTCTGCCACCATTGTGTTTTATCTACTATATAGAAGTTTTTGCTCCATTCAAGTAACTGCTCTATATCTTGATGTAGATTTGAAATCTTACCTCCTGAAGGGAACAAGATTTAGATTTATGGGATGTTTGTTTATAAATTTTTTCATTTCATACTCCATCCATACTCAAAATCAAACTCAATTTTAATCCAACCCCATTATCCTCAATATTATCAATATTAAATAATATCAAAAAATCATTCTTACACATCACATCAAACTTAATTCATCCACTCACATAATTTTCACTAACCATCACTTCACATCATATCTCTCATATTTTTACGTCAAATCAACTTTAATTATTTTATTTAATATAAACTCAAAATTCCACTAACAACTAATCATACCAACATTTTTAAAATTAACCCCGGTTAGCCAAATAAACTCATTTTGAGCGGATATATACTGTTTCATGTTTCGTGTTACATTTATTACAATTCTTTTCTGCTTGTTATATGATGTTGTAAATGAAATTCCATGCAGGATGGATTTGTAAATTCGTTGGCATTTGCTAAATCTGGGAGATTCCTGATCGCTGGAGTTGGGCAGGTGATTTTCTCTTCTTTCTTCAATAAATTTGGAATTACAATTTATACACTGATCTATCAAAATATTGCGACTGGCTTGTTTCATGTCTTGCATATCAATTCACGAACTTATACACATGCTGCATTTGGCTAAACCTCATCTTTTTGTGCAGGAACCACGGTTAGGGAGATGGGGACGTGTTGCTACAGCCAAAAATGGAGTTGCGTTGCACTCACTGGAACTATCATAAACACTAACAATTCCAATTCATTTGTCCCGATATAGAAAAAAATTATCGAGAATGTAGACGAAATGAGTGTTACAGTTTACAATTGCGAAACAAGTACTTGTCAGACAGTTCTTTGCAGTTGTGTCAAATGACTTGCAGATGCTTGAAATCTGGAGAGATAAGGAAACACTCCCAGGCGTGTGCCTATGGTTCTGAACTATTCGGACTTAATTCTCATTTGTGGCAGATATTGTTTGTGGGTAGTGTTTTTTAACAAATGTGAAGTAAAAGATCACGAAGTTAGAGTTCGATTTGCTTACAGTTTCAGTTTTTCTCCTGTGAACACTAAGTTACAGTCCACATGTTTCTGCTGCACTAAATTTTGTTTTTCTGACGTTTGGTTTCTCTATCTGTTGGGTTGTTTTTGTTTTGAATTTTGTAAGTCCAGGTTTTTGTAATATTACATATTCTTATTGAGAATTATGTTGAATGTTTTTTAACTTTTTCTGTTTTTCCTGAGCTTATTTCCGTTAAAACGAACTCAACGAAGGCTGCAAAGCAAGCTGGCAAGAAACTCGATAACACAACCACAGTAGCTTTGGGTGAAATCAAAGTATAAAATCCATAAATTCAAGTAAAGAAGTAAGAACCATAGAAAACTAGCACAAGAGAAGTAGCAATCAAAGACTGCAGTGTAATCTGAGACTAGCAACAATTCTGGTGTCAACTATTTGACAAATTTCCATAAAAGAAACCATCATAAATAAATAACCTCAAAATGCCATATAAAATAGCCAATATATATATAAGAAAAAAACTAGTTTATCGCCAAAAAAATGGCAAGGGCTCCCTAAGGTACAAAAACAAACATATATATGAACAGTAACTATAAGGAAAAACAGAAAGAATGAGAGAGAGAGAGAGAGAGAGAGAATGTCCTTTACTATGTAAACAAAGTGACCACATCCTTACGGTACCCTCGCACGATCAACAGCCTCGGCACATTCTCGACCAACAAGTCCATATATTCCATGTAAAAATACGACGGGTGGTTTAGCGGCGGCGGTGGAAGGCTGACGAGCACAACTGCCGCCATTCTAGAGTATTTCAAGATAGTCGAGTTTAGCTTCAGCATCGTGTACAGAAACTTCTCCACTTGTTGCTCGTTCACCATTAGCCCATGTGTACCCTCCTGCTCGGCTCTTTTTTCCATAGATGCCAAATAATCTGAAATCCTCTCTTGAGCACTGCTAAAAGCCTCCATTGAGTCATCCTGCTTCTCCGCTCTTGCATCCCACGACTTCATAGAGATCACAATCACCTCAGCTTGCATTCGGAGGTCGTACAGGAATTTCTTCACGTCAGCCTTAAGCTCCTCAGCATCAGAATCCTCCTCCGCAATGCAAAACACCTGAAGATAGTCAAATATATCCACTCAAAAAGTTTTTTTTTTTTTTTTTTTTTAGAAAAAGGTGGTATGGTTAGTTGTTAGAGGAATTTTGAATTTATATTAAAATATAAAATAATTAAAGTTGATTTGATGTAAAAGTAGGGAAGAGATGAAGTGAAGTGATGGTTAGTTAAAATTATGTGAGTTGATGAATAGTAAGTTAAAGTTGACGTGATGTGTAAGAATGATTGATTGAATATTATTTAATTGTGTTGAAAATATTGAGGATAATGGAGTTGGTTTAAAATCGAGTTAGATTCTGAAAATGGATTGCGTTTATTTATAAACAAACAAACAAACGCACCCTAAACATAAAAAAAAAACTAAACTTTTTCTTTTTCTTTGGCCAAACCTGAATCTTACAGCTCTCGAAGCTCTCCTTCGTCAAGAGCAACTGAGAAAGCAAGAGCATGAGACCACCATCCCTCACAATCCAATACAAATCGATCGTCCCATATTGCCTCTGGTACTCATTCGGCCACTCATCAAGCCCCTTGACTATAACAACAGCTTTATTAGCAACAATACAATCGTTAATGATCCCGACAAAAGTGGCAGGAATCTCGGTCAGATTCTCCCGGCGCCATATTTCCGGGTAGCGCATGACAACGATGTTGGGCTTCAGGTTGCCGAGGCCCATTGTCTGAACGATGCCTCGGAAGCCATCAGACATTGTGGGGGCCACCACAATCTCGGCTACTCCTTCGCAACGTTTGTACTCTATGTAAGTGCTGAGGGCCCGGCATGTGGATTTGGCTTCCTCTGCCAGCTCGTGATAGTCACCGTCGATGATGGACACGAATATGGACATCCCACGGCCTTTCTTCTTCATGCAATTCGCAAAATCGGCCAATTTCGGGTGGCACGGGACGTTCTCCGGGAGCTTGCCCCATGGCCGGCAGAATACGAGAGGGATTGGGTACCAGTTTTTAGGGTGCACTTGGCTTGCTGGACCAAAAAATAACAAATCCCAATGATAATTTTTTTGTAATTTATAACGCAAATCATTTTTTTTTTCTACTGAATATTTCAAACATCAACATCGTTATTGTAATTAATCTAAAAAATAATGTTTTCACTCTAGAAGGG